GGATTTTATGGGGATAATGGAAAAGAAAATGGAGACTACTATAGTATAACAGAGCATATATTAGGGGCTTCACTGAAAGGCATGCAGCATCCTCATCAGAGGGGCCAACGAGTTCATGCTGGAGGAAGCCAGCAGATCGGTTTCGCTCCCAGTTGGAGGGAGCCTTCCCTAAGGCTTTTCACCCCCTTAGGTAAACAGACTATGGGGTACATAGGGTTTAGGGTTTAGGGTTATAGTCCTTTTTAGGTAGATAGACTATGGGGTATATGGGGATTTCCCAAAATACGGGGATCCCCCAATTTATTACAGCCCTTGTTATTCGGACCCCCAGAATGATACCCTTAATTTTGGGAAACCCCCACATCTCTTGTTAGGTCCACGATGCACTTTGCGCGGTCTCCCGGACGCTAGAGTCCAATGCAGTGGTCCCTGGGGGCGGGGCCGTGGAGACCGCGGTGAGTTTGCACTTGGAGGATTGCCAACCTCTCCCAGAGCTAATGGATGCTGCAATGCAGCCGCTGTAGACTTCTTCCATACATGTTGGGGTGGGCCCCCCCAGGAGGTCAAAAAAAGTTCCCCTCCTGTGAGCAGTTTTAGGATGTGGACTCAAGGGTCCTAAGCCACACGCTTGAAACCCTTAAGGGATAGGGAGTGAATCCTTATAATACTCCTATAATGATACCTATATTCACTGCCCCACTCCCCCTCAAGCACCAGGAAGTTGAAACCCGTGGTGCAGGACCATGCTAGGACCTACGACACCTACGAGCAGTGGGCCATCGCGGAGTTCGCTGAGGCAGGCTGCTTGCAGCTGTGGCGCTCCAGAGTCTCCGGAGTACAGTTTGACACTTTTCATTATTACTAACTACTATTCTGCTTATTACTGCGATGATTACTATGACTATTGTTACCAGTATTATGTTGTGATTCCTATGTTTTGCTGTGATTACTATGTATATCTTTATTCAAGGTCTGCATGCCTGATGGGACCCCAGGGCTCACTTGTGAAAGCTGCAACGGTGCGGAGGCCTTGCTGACGATCCCCAAGACGCTGGCCATTAACGCGGCCTTGGACGCCATCGATCTCCTAGCTGCTCTCCGGGCCAGCGGCTTCCGACAGTTACTGTTTGCTGGGGTTATCAGTCTTGCTGGTATTATACCTGTATATGTTTATGAATGAATAATGTACTTATTATTATGCGTACTAGTGCTATTCGTATTGTTACTGTTGCTTTATTGTTACTTCTGCTATTGTTACTAGCAAGTTTTCCCGCAGTTCTACTTGCGGTGGCACTTTCTCAAAGTAAGGACTTCCTGGGTTCCCCTAAATACGGACTCCTAGAAGGGGCGGAGAATTTGGAGAAAGCCACCACATCAGCAACCCCGTTTGTAGCAAAGAGCATTAAGAACAAAGTGCCAGGCTTATGTCCTTGCAGCTAAAACCTAAACCCTGAAACAGAGGCGCCATTACACAAACAAGTAAAACAACTCAAAACCTAAACCCCAACACCTAGACCCTTTGAAAATAAAGCCTGAACGCTAAACACTAAACCCTGCTCTAAGGTGAGGCACCACGCTTCTCAGCAGGCCTCTGACCCCAAGAAGAAAGACTACAAGTGGTATGGTCTGGACCTGATCAATGGCACCGTCCGCAACCAGGTTTTGGGTTGTTGGGTTTGGGGCTTTCGGATTCTGAGGTTGAGGATCAGGGTTTAGGGTACAGGACGCCCTGAGTAGTACCTTAAGCAGGGATACTAGGCTTTTCTTGAGGGAATAAACGCCCCAAAATAGTGCCCAACATATTCTACGATTCCACTTAAAAAGGGGCCTCGAATTCTCCCATTGCGCGTTCTTTGCAATGAACCCTGAACCCTAAACCTTAAACCCTGACCTCCGCTGGTTGCAGGTCGTCAATGGCGTTTTGGAGCCCATGGTTTCAAAGCTCAAGTCTTTGAAGTTCGCCACAGAGGCTCCAGGGTTTGAGCCGGGCAGCTCATTAAAAAAACACAGTAGTCCTGGGCCTAGGCCCTCATAGTTAGGGCACCCCCCAAAGAAAGGGACCATGTTTCTTGACCCTAAATCCTAAACCCTAAAGCAGGCTGCCATCACCATCCTTCGGATCGATGATCTGGTGAGAATTGCCCCAGATCCACAGGATGAGGCACAGTAATCTAGGGTTTGGGGTTCACATGGGATGAGGCACAGTAATCAGATGGTCATGAAAATTCCTACATGGGGGTCTATCAAAATGATCAGCAGATCTTTTTTAAGGCGGGAAGGCCAGCGTAATCCCAATTTATGCCTAGGGTCCCTAACCTGAGGGTCCCCATTTTGAGAAGATTACATGTGCTAGACTACCAACACAAGCAGGAAGGACGTAGCGCTTAAGTTGAAGCTCCGGCGCATGGCTCAAGTTGGCCGCGAGGAATTTCACTTGCAGGCACCTAGGGAGACGGAGTGCTGCTGCAATTTGCTGCACTCAAAAAAGTGACTGCTGGGCGCGCTGGACGGGGATGCAAGCTGGGGCAAGGGTGCTTTGTGCCTCATGGAAGAGTTGTCCTGATGGCTTCCTGGCGGACCATGAAGTAGAAAAGATGAAGTCAAGATCTTACCAGCCAAGCAGGTAGCTCCCAGTAGCTGGACTGCAAGACAGAGACTTATCCTAGAAGTAGGTGCATGAAGATACAAGTTGCCTTAAGCAGAATTGGCCCATGGCCAATGGCATCGGGTGGCGATGTGGCCCTTGCTGAGCTGCTGTCGCTGGTCGAGGCTGCGAACATAAGGCAAACCGTTCGTTCAAGCAGGTCTGTTCAACTGAAGCAGACCTGTGCACGTTTAACTCCTGCATTGGACATTTCTGCATTGGACATTTCGAACTCTGCAATGATCTGTTGATGTAAGCAGCTCTCACACCTGCTCCAGTTTGCCTTTGTGCCAGGGCTCTGCCATCTCCGAAGCCGATGCGCGAAAGGCAAAGCCTCCCTGCACTGGGGCCACCTAAGTCACTCGAAGCTTTCTAGCTTCCCTAAATAGGAGGACCCCAAACCCTAGATATCCTTAAAAAACACTATACATCCCCTATACACCCCTTTAAGGTACCCCTAATTTTGGGAACCCATATGTGCGCCCGTTCACTTCAGGCCTTGCAGGCAAGCGGCCACAATGTTGAGCTGGCCATCTGTCGTCTCTTCAGCGGAGGTGCAGATTGGTGCAGAACTCTTAGGGGTCCAAGTAGCCCAATGTGGGTAACATTTACAGACTTTAGGGCCCAATGTAGGTATTATTTATAGATTTATAGATATGGATCCCCAGGGGAAGAGCATGCGAAAGCTGATCTCTGCTGTTCTGCGGAGGCCCGGAGCAAGTCGGCGTCATCGACATCGACATCGAGGAGGAGGCGGACAGTGGCGTGGCAGCCAAGGGCCGGAGCAAAGGCCCGAACCGAACGCAACGAAGCACTCATATGAGCTATAGTCTAAACTCCTTCTAGAGGGTGATATAGGGGATTATATACGGGACTGCTATGGGGTATTGCTATGAGGGAAAGGACTCTAGACTATAGCTCATATGCAAGCGCTGCCCCCGTGAAAGCTGCGAAGTCGGAAAGGTAGAAAGCGCAAAAGCCGCGGTGTCGCGGAAGAGCAGCGCACAGGGCCCAGGAAGAGAGCCTGTCTACAGTTTTCAAGGCTCAAACAGCAGGCTTCAACTACAAGATTCTATGCCTTTCAATAAGAACAAAAATAGTACATATATATATATATAGAGTAACAGCAATAGTAGTAATAACAGTAACAATAATAAGCATACTAGTAACGGAAATCGAGCCGTCAAGACAAACAGCCGGAGCTCTTTTCGGCAAGTTGGCGTTGGCAAGGAGCCCCTCGAAGCTGCAGCTTACCCTAAGGGTCCAAGTACCCAATAATCATATACTTGCCCAAAATCTGTACTATAATGATTATTACCCAGAACCAAGTACCTAATTCCTGGGTACTTGAATCCTAATTAAATCCTATATTCCGCTCATTACCCACGTATATCCCTATCCCCTTTAAAGGGACCTAATTATTGGGCAGTTGGACCCTTAGGGTTAGCTGTCCCAAGGCAAGCAGACGCGCGTGGAGAAGAAGGCTCCCATACCATCTGAACCAAGCCGAGCAGGCTCCTCATGGGCTATAGTCTAAACGCCTTAAGGGGGGGCTTATATGGGGTCTAGAGTTTAGGGTCAAAACTCCTTAAAGGGGAGTTATATAGGGTTTATTGTTGAGGGTCTAAAGTCCTTCAAGGGGGATTGTATAGAGTTTAGGATTTAGGGTCTAGACTCCTTAAAGGAGGATTATATAGGGGACAGGAGATTAAGGGAGATACTAGGAGTTTGGGTTGTAGCTCACATCTTGCAGAGCTTGCACAGAGCTCGTAAATGTTCCCATAACTGAATTCAGAATGGAGTATAATGGAAAAGAAAATGGGTGGTACAAGAAAGTTGTACAACTATATAGTCAAAAAGGGTATGTATTGGAAAGGGGCCCCAAAAAATGGCAGTTTCCATTTGGTGTTCCATGGGCTTGTCCATTTGGTTCTCCATTCCCCTTGTGTACCCTAACCTGGGTTGCTGTTACGGAACTTAAACTAAGTTACTATATTGGGGAAACCCTATTATGTACTATATATACCCATTATGGTAACTTAATTTAAGTTCCTCAACAGCAAGCCAATAACCCTAAACCCCCCCCCACCAGTTTCTTCTTGGCTCTTTTGGCAGGTCGAGGCCCATCAGAGGAGACACTCTGTGAGGCCTGGGTCGAGCTACGTGAGCTTTTGGCCATTTTTCTTGCCGGGTGTTCGTAACTTAGTAGGGAATGAGGGAAGCCATGGGCATAAAATTCCATTATTCCCTACTAACCTAGTAGGGAATAAGGGTAATCCTAAACCCTAATATTGGGATGATATTCCATTATTCCCAAACTTTAAATAGTCGTTTCCATTTTCTTTGCCACTATCCCTATATAACTCTATATTATATCCCTATATTTCCATGTCCGACTTGGCCAGGCCGAGACAGAATGCGAAAATGGCAGCGCGAGCAACGTGCACTCCGACAAGGTGAAGGGATGAAAACGTTGCATGCAGAGGAATCGGCGGTTTAGGATTTAGGGTTCAGGATTTATGGTTTAGGGTTTAGGATCTAGGGTTTAGGGTTTAGGGTTTAGGTTTTAGGGTTCAGGATTTAGGGCTTAGTGTTCAGGGTTTAGGTGTTGAGGATTTAGGGTTTAGGGTTGCTATGTCCCAGGCCGTGGGGACGGACTTGCCACCGGAGGTGCAGGCAGGTGTCCGGCAAGCGAATACATAGTGATGTTGGAGAATCAAATGGAAAAGAAAATGTGATCCTGTTGGGATTGTTTGGGATAAATAGGGATTATATGGGGACGTTACCCCAATAATCGAGAATCAAATGGAGAAGAGCGTGGAAATGAAATGGAAACTAGGGTTATAGCAGGGTAATATACAGCGGAATGGAAGAGCAAATGGAAACGACTGTCGTTGGTTTTGACAGGGACATATATACATATTTATTTATTTATTCATTTATTTACATATGTATAGGGATATTACCCAAAGAATGACGAATCAGATTGAAAAGTAAAAAGAAACTTTTTCATCCTTAGGGAGCAATTAGCACATAATGATAACATATTTCGGTATATAGTAGTATCTAGTAATATATGTATATATATATATGTGTATATATCTCTGTATATATATATGTGTATATATAGAGTACTGCATACTATAGTCTACATAGTCTGTATCAAGTTTCAGAGTTCCGCGCGCAGGCTCAGCTCCGGGCCCTGGGTTTGGGCTGGAGCTGCGCCCCTGAGGCCCTCAGGAATTTCTACCTGCACACCCATTTCTGGATTTAGGGTCAAGGGTAGGGTTTGGGGTTTAGGGCTTTAGGGGTTTAGGGCTTAGGGGTTTAGGGTTTAGGATTTAGGATAATCATGGCCCCCGAAACCTCTAAAAATTCCCAGGAAGGCCCATTATGTACATGCTTCAGAAATTTCAATCAAACACTTCGCGGGGCTTTGCTTTGAGACTTGCCTTGGAGGGCTCCTGGGCGCGATTTTCGCCGAAGATGCAGAAGCATCCACAGAGCCTCCTTCAGGCGGGTTGGCTCTTATACAAGCACTGCAACCTGGACCCCCAAAGTATGTAGAATAATGGCCTCTTAAACATTTTGATGAAGATTTTGGGCCATTATTTTACTTACTTTTGAAATTTTGAAGTTCTAGGAATAACCTAGGAAAAGAAACTAGTATGGAAATGCTCTTCGACTGGAAAGGATTACGGGATGTTCGATTACCCCAGTCCCTACCACCACTAAGCCAGTTTGGCGCATGCGCTGGCGCCAGGATCCGCCCTGCTTGTCACTGCAGGGCCAAAGTGAGCGCAATCAGGAGGCCCGAAGATGATCTTTGCTTTGTCAGTCTTACTGTTGATGGATGAAATCTTGAACCACCTATGGGCCCTAGACTACTGTAATTCCTAGGACTTTAGGGACTTAAGGTGGTGCAAGATTTCCTCCATCAACAGTATTCTTCAGATGTTATTCATTATTCTGAATATTTTTGCTAATATATCTAAAAATACTGGTGCTTTTGCAATTATTATGAACCAGTATTCCTATTCTTATTAGTACCATTAGCAAAGTCGTCGAGGCCTGCAACTGCATTGGGGACATGCACTCCGCAGCGAAGGTGCGCATGTAAACCCAGCCAAAGAGGTTTCTCGCCACGGCTAGTAGTAACAGTAACAGTAGAAGAAATAGTCATAATTGTATTCTTAATAGTAATCGTAATACTAATACTAGTAATAGAAATACTCTGAATAATACTACTAGTGGTACTACTAATACTAATTGTAACTAATTTATTACTATTTATAGTAATCATATTAATACTAATTGTAATTATATGAAATTTTAATAGTAATTATACGAAAACTGATAGTAAGAGTCTGCGCGGCAGGCTGGCGTCCAAGATCAGTTTGCTCTGCAGCTAGACAGCGGAATCAAGGTGTTGCTGGCGCCAGGACAGAACATTTCCGCCTATGGGGGGGTTCCCGAAACTAGGGTCCCAATTTGGTATCCCGAAAAATTAGGTGCCGTAATATACTGTACACTCAAAAAGGGTCCATAATTTTCAGAACAGCCCATATGTAAGACATTGTTTCAGCGTTTGACACCCACAACTCAAGAAGTCTCACCATGTGAAATCCTGGCTCAAGGGAAAAGGAGAGACGCTCCCCCAAGGCTTGAGGGGGTGGTCTGGGACTAGGATCCTTCATGACGTGAGGCTGAGGGTCGTAGGAGGTGTGTTGGGTTTGAGGCAGGGTCAGGTGTGTCTCCGGGTCCTTCAGGTATCCCAGCTCCCACTCAGTATTTTTTCCCGTAGATTCCCCAGGACGCCAAGACACGGACATTGGAGGACGCAGTCCAGCTGAGAGCCAACATGCTGCGGATTTGCGACCTGATACGCAGAGGACATGCAGCAGTGAGCGACCGTCTGCTGAACAGCCTCTTCGAGACTCTGCTAGCGAAGGCCTTCTGAGTTGCCGGAAGCTGACCATCTGAATTCCACAAAGGGCATGAGGCCTCGGGGCGGGTCTGGCAGAGTTACATGGGGACGCGAGTGGGGACTGCGCGATTGGTTGTTCAGAAGGGTCGCATGTTTTCCAAAGTAATGAGGGACAGACATGAAGCGCACAGCGCAGGTCAGATATCCGCCAAGTGACCTGGAGTTCAGCTGGCGGCTGCGTAAGCTGCAGCCCCACGAGCGGCTCTTGCCTGGAGCTCGATCCTGCTCTTCTGAGCGTCATAGGGAGTGGCAGGGGCTTACATAGCTGGGGTTCAGGCATTGAATAAGGGTTTAGAGGGATCTGTGTAGGGCCATAAGGGGAATGGACAAGAAGATGAGAGCTGTGTTGCCGTGCTATTTTATCATTATTGTTATCCTCATTACCGCTATTAGTACTCTGGGAATCCATGTCCATAAATGAGACCTACATGAGGCCCTAAAGTCTGTAAGCATTACCTACATTAGGCTATTTGGATTACTAGGGTTAGTATTGGGAGGGTATTGGGATTTCAAGGTCACATCGTGTGGCGCCGGCCGAGCTTGCTGGCACTGTGCCAGCACGGCCTTTTCAGCTTTTGGACAACTCTGCAGATGCCGGGGTCCAAGTTAAGTAGTATATAAGGGGATATGTAGAAATATATATATATAGGAACATAGGGGGAATGGAAAACACAATGGAAACTAGAGTTTCCATACATTTGCATTCCCCCTAAGCCTTGGCTCGAAGCTTCGGGTCGCGAGTCCTTGGATTATCCAATGAACCTCCCGGGGTTAGTAAGGAATATAGGGGTAACCTTTAGGGATTAGATAGGGATCATATTTCCTACTCCAAATTTTTGGAAACCCCTGTGAATCTGAAGATGCTGAAGGTCGAGGTTCTTCAATTCTGTCACCCCTCAAATCCAACCTCCAGTTAATGTGGGGGGTTTCCCACTATCAGGGGTAGCGTATTAGGGGTCCCCATCTCAAGGACTATGATGTTTTGAGGTCTATATTGGGTCTCCCTATTTATGGAAACTACCCTAAACCCTGAAACCTAGACCACCCTTGGGCCTCAAACCGGTAGAGACTTGGTTGGGAGGCTTCGGCAGAGCAGCCACCCCATTTTCTTCAGCATCCACTCCGGCCAGAACAGCAGAGGCTGCTGCATAACCTCTTGCGTTATATTGGGATTCTATTGGGACAATGGACAAGAAAACTATATTATGGCAGAGTATATATTAGGGTTATATTGGGATTATATTGGGATAATGGAAAAGAAAATCTGTCCGCAGATTTGTCATCATTACTGTGGATTGTGGGGTGCAGTCGCTACTGTAGGTCTCTGCAATGGATGCTGGCGCAAGAGGCTGATGTTGAGCCTTTCATGGTAGAGTCTGCGCCTTGTGAAGGGGCAGATATGCTTGGGTTGCCGCATGGCGGGTTGGGTTGCCGCATGGCGGGTTGGTTTAGGGTTCAGCTGAAGCTGCATTCATTCTGAGGTGGTTTCGATTTTGGACCACCTTTCCTGCCGGCGAAATGGAGGCAAAGCATTTGCCAAAGAGAAGCGGAACAGATTCCAACCCTACATCATTCCTTAGGGCTCCAAAGGGCCCAATTTTGATTCTACTTATAGACATTGGGGACCCAGGTAGGTATTTCTTGTAGACATGGAGCCCTATATCATTTGCTCAGGCAGATGAGGGACGACGGTTCGTGGAGGGGGCCGAGGTTAAGCTGTCGTCGAACGCGTGGGGCCCTTAGGGTTCAGGGTTTAGGGCTTAAGGTTTAGGGTGTCGGGTCTAAGGTTTAGGGTTTAGGGTTTAGGGTTTGGGTGGCTGTTAAGGAATTTGAAATAGGGGTTAGGGCTTAGGGTTCAGGGTTATTTAGGGTTCAGGGTTTGGGATTTAGGATAAGTTACCAGAAGATGAGCCATAGTCTAAACTCCTGACAAGGGGGTGATGTAGGGGACTAGGAGTTAGGACGGGGGATACTAGGAACTATAGCTCATGTGGATATATAGGGTTAAGGATCTAGCTTACCATGATATAGGTATCTAGGGGTTAGGGTCTAGGTTCCCATAAAATGGGCAGATAGGGTTTAATTCGGGCTTAAGTTACCAAAATATGGGTATGTAGAAAATGATAGGGTTTTCTCAGTATTATAGTAGCTTTCCTTATGTTCCTGAACAGCAACCCAGGCATTTCACTTTTTGTTGGACCCTGCCTCGACTCAGTAGCAGTTAGATAAATAGTTCGATCATACGTAAGAGTTGGATCATAATAAGCATAATGTAACCCAGTACGAGTTGAATAATGAACGTTTCAATAGGAGGAGTTTATGATATCACCCTATTGTAGACTGTTACTGGGTTGGGGCAGTACCCGAACTCTACCAAGCTTTGTGCGCAAAGGGCTAGTCTGCGCCAACAGATGTTGAAGTAAACAAAGCTGAGACACTGCCAGCACTGACACTAGTTCTCAGCTTCAGTTGGTAGTTGTCCATTCATGGGGGGACCCGCATTTTCCACCCCAAAACACTACAGTCCTTGTTCATGGGACCCGTACCATGGTACCCCTAATTGGGAAAACTTAAACCTTGTATTTCCCTAGAGCATATACACCCAAGATGGCCCTGTCTAACCCCTACAACCCATTTAAATAGTACCCCGACTTTTGGGACCCCCAGCACTAAAACCTCAAACCCCTGAAATCCAAAACCCTAAATCCCAAACCCCTAAATCCTAAAAACCCTAAATCCTAAAACCCTAAATCCTAAAAGCCCTAAATCCTAAACCCTAAATCCTAAAAGCCCTGAATCACCAGTGCCTCGCCACAGCCCCCGCGTGGGTAGGAAGGGACCTTTCCTCGATGTGCGGCCGGCGGGTGTGCCAGCTTCTCCAGTGACAAAGGAGAAGCTGCAAGGCAGGACTAAGGGGCGATAAGTAATTGTAAGGGGTTATATGTGGGTTTCCCAAAATTAGGGGTACCCTTTTGGGGGTCCCCATAATAAGGACTATAGTATTTTGGGGTCTATATTGGAGTCCCCTTATTTTGGGAAACTACCATATAGGGATAAGGGGTTATAAAGGGTTTAGGGTTCAGGGGTTATATAGGGATAATGGAAAAGAAAATGGAGACTACTACATTCTATAGGGCCCGAACCCCAATAGTATAGGAGCTGTGGACTAAATTTAGGTTGGGGGGGACCTGTAGGGGACTATATAGGGTTTTTTGGGGGAACCTATTAGTTTTGGGCTCTTTTAGCTGCTGTAGACTATTATTATCCCCATTTTTTGGAGTCCAGGTACTATTGATGTAGGTGTTTTATGGAGATTACATGGATTTTCTGGGCCCGTCTTGGTTATAGATTGTACTACGGCACCTACTATGAAGGGGTACCAAAATGGGACCCTGATATTGGGAACTCCCCATATTATAGTAGGGAGAATGTAGGGCTTATACAGCTGTTCCATGCATGCGGAAACCTACAAGTTGGAGGTGTCGGGCGGATCGTTGGTGAAGGGACGCAGCCCAGCTCCCCACATTCTGGGCCCGGGCGCTTGCGGGGAAACTGCAAGCGAGTGAAGTTTGGCCCAGAGCTTAGACCGTTCGCTTGCCGCAAACATGTCCCTAGGGATCAAATAGCCCAATGTTGTTGTGTATTACACTTGCGTCAGACATGACAATTCTTATAGCACCAAGCTGATAACCACAAATGCATGTGGATCTCAAGTTTGTGTGCTCCCGTTGCCATTTTGGTTACAGCTGGTGCACTTGTATCGGAACATCGGTTCCTTTCTCAGTGTTATTGCCTGTGTCCCCCTGGGACATCTTCGGTTCCTACAGCTGTCATCACTGCTGACCAACAACAAGTGCACCACCTTCTAGAGCGTGGTAAACACTGGCTTTGGGAACAACGGCGTTCGGACAACAAGACTCTTCAACAAATTCTTCGCCGAGTGGGCGATTTCCATCGCGAGGTTCGTGATCTGGCCATAAACGACCGGTGAATTCTTGGCTGGCTTCCTTCTGGGCAGCGCGCCCGGATCACCACCAAGCTCCAGTAGCTCATCTTCTTCTTCCACATCCGGCCCGTCAAGTCCAGCACCCGCATCTTCGTGATGGCTAACCTCCAGTTCGTGGAGCGCAAAAAGCACATCGAACCTTATCCCACCTGGGATCAGCTGCCTGGATCCACCGTCCGAGCACGTTCATGGCAACACATTCGCAGAAGCGGTCTACGCATCCTACCTACAACACACCAATCAACGCCCGCAAATCATCCTGAACTACATCCAAGCCGCCGGAAAGTTCGAGCTCGTGACAAAACAGTCAGCCACGAACATGCTCCTCAGCTCCATGTCAACCGGCGACATCATGCCGGCCAAGAGCTTTGTGTTCGGGACGAACCGGACGCAATGGAAAACATCGGACGCCTACTTCAACTACATCACGGCGGGAGGCACACCTGCTGTGGACAACCGTATTTCACGTGGAGGAGCTGGACGCAACACTGGCAGGGGCAGATCACCCAGCGGTCCCAGAACATCCAGATTCCATTCACCACGACTGAGGACCTTTTGTGGCGCGTGGTTCCCTCCATATTGGCTTCTCGACATCACACCTCAAGGTACAGCAGAATGGAGGAACCTTACCGCTGCTGTTTTCAGCGCGTCAGTGGCGACAACGACTACTATTGGTTCGCATCACACACATCACTCACACCAGCCCTACATGGTCGACCTGGAACAGCCACCAGTCCCACGCGCACCGACTACAAGCACCAGGACCAGACATCGGTGGCCAAACTGGACGCGGACTACGACAACTACCCCAAGCGCTGGGTCATCGCCTTGGACGAGGATTCACCACACCAACGACGCCTGTACATCAAAGCCTTCTGGTCCGACCACAAGTTTAGGTGGGCTCGCCACGCTGTCCTCCCAAAGACCAACAACCCGAACAGCCCGACAACGCTCGATGTAGACACCTGGTTTCAGATCTAGTCCGCACCGTTCGACGTCGTGCAGCCGTGGAACTTCATCGAGAACAGAACAGCTACTGGGCGGCCGCCTCTGCACAGATACATGATGAACACCCTGAATACAACGAAGCCGACATCAGGGCCTCTGTTTGCGCTAGAGTCCTCGCTTTGGTCGACCAATTCACGGCGGACATCCAAGGTTCATCGCAATCAGAAAGGGCTCGCATCACGGCCGCGTTCCGACAGTGGGACGAGGACACCATAAAGCCCGCCATCGATCCGGACTAAGGTCACCACGCCTTTTTCGAGCGCGTTGGTGCGGACAGCCACATCACCGAGTGGGCCTCGAAGATCACGGCCAGCATGGAGCAGCACTACATCTGCAGGAAGATCGGCTGCCAGGCGGTAGTGGACAACAAGCGTTGGTTGCGGAAGATTTCTGCACCAGCCCCCATCAAGGATCAACACGGCCGCTACCTATGCCCACATTGCCTCAACCCGTACCGACCATGGGTCGAGCAGCCGGACATCATCCCCGCTCAGAAAGCATTGTGGTGGTGGACACCTCAGCAACCAAGGACCTCGCCACGGCCACAGGGGTTCAGCGCCTCCCAACCACAACAACGACACCGACTCCGACAACCGCGGACAAGGACATCGTGCCCAAGACATTCCCCGCATGGGTTTACACACAGCTCGTCAAGGACTACAACGACATCACCCTAGATGGAGAAACGCGCAGCTTCCCCGAGAAAATCCTCTTGGGAGCCAACAAGGTGCTAGCACGCGTGTGTCATGAACACCACGCGTCCAAGCAGTACACCGCAGTCACCTTGGGCGAGATCATGTCGCAAAGAGTCTTCACGGCTTGGGCGCGGTCAACTCCAAGCGCAAGAAGGATGACCTCGACAAGCGGCTCATCGTGGACAACAAACAACAACTCGTTACCCAGGAACCACCCGATTGCGACGTTCGCGGGTCATCCATGATACAAGACGGCATCGAAGCAGTCAAGTGGGCATGGATCCTCATCAAGTTCGGCGCCGAGAAGGCTATCACCAAGTATTGCGATTGGTTCACCACATTGATTCGCAAAAGCGGTACACGGTTACCACAGATCAATACCTTGTGGCTGGGACATCGCGATGCGCATGCGGCAATCAGAGACCTTCACAGTCATCACGGAAGAGATCACGCAAGACCTTACCACGGTGAACGACGCCCTCACGCAGTCACCCAAGAAGAGGCCACGAGGTGATTGTGAAGAGCAACAATGATGGCGCACCACAAAAGGCGACAAGACCGGCAAGGGCAAGGGCAACAAAGGCAAAGGCAAATGCAATGGAAAACAATGGCAATGGTAACAACAGCCGTGGACAATGTCTTGGCCCTCCCCAGCGTTCCCGCCACAACCACCTACTACCTTCGTCCCCATGCCCCCGCTGGTGGTTCCAGCAGCCCAACAGTGGCAACACCAGCAACAGCCGTCATGGAATGCACAACAGCAGTTCCAGACACCACAGCAACCGTACATCGCGCCAGCACACCTAACACGCAACCTCACACAAGAGCTGTCCATAGTACACCTGAGCTTCTTTGATGGCATCGGGGCAGCCAGCCTCGCACTACATACACTTGGTGTACAATCATTCCTCACCATCAGCTGGTAAACAGATCCAGAGTGCATCCCCGTCCTAGACGAAGACTTCTCCCCCATACCCCGACTTCTCCAGCGTCAGATCCAAGCCTACGGGCACAGCCGGCTCCGCAGGATATTAATTCCAGCAACTCGTCCACATCATACATCAAATCAAACAAGTGCTACACCCAGTTCCCATCTACATCCTCATCGAGAACGTGGTACCACACACATCAGTACAACAAGACTTCTTGAATCCGAGCAACTGGAGATCAAACCAATCATCCTGGACGCCGAGGACGGGGGCATTATACACCGCAAACGACTGTGGTGGCTATCCGTGGATTGGAAGAACGTCAAGAACAAGGTGGGCAAGCACACACCATGGTCACTACATTGGACGATTACCGAAACACCTTGGCAACGCCTCCACAACCCAGTTGCAAAGTCATTACAGCCACAATTACACACCACACACCTTACCGCGCCCACAGTCACACAGAGGGAAGGCCTGTTCCATTGTCTTACAACCCCCGCCCCTGACCAGCATGGCAGATTTGCTCCTCAAAATTGCAACGAGAAACCGGGTACCATAACCAGATGGCAGGCCGACAACCACCCATTTGCGCCATGGCAATACCAATCCAAGTATCTGGTGTCCGACCAACAGGGACAACGGCACGTGGCCCCTGCGCAGATGCGAGAACAGATGATGGGCTTCAATGGACACCACACCTCCAACATGACACCGAGTACCGACGTAACAAAGCCTTAGGCAACACGTGGCACATTCCGTCAGCAGTGTGGCTGATACTCCTCATCATACTCGATGCCATCCCTGCCCCCGCAGGCATGCATCTCCATCTCGCCCACACAGAGAGCAACACACCTATGGCTTGCCACCAACACGATGTTCGGTCCACCGCCCAAACTATCACACAACCATTACATGCCACAGTTCTCTCGGCAAGAACACTTGGCGTGGACATCGTCACTAGATATTTGTTACACCCCCAAACAGTTGGACCCCACATTGGAGTTGGCAGTACAACACGCGCACCTCTTCCATCCCATCACTGACTTTCGCAGACAAGCAGTACGCGGTATACACAACCTGGTTACCGAAATGAAAAAAGCGACGGAGACCTGGTTACACACACTACTACATCACGTTCAACATGCACGCACTACAGCAACATCGAGCACAACAAGAAGTACATCCGACAAAAGTTGGAACAGGCCCGAGTGGACGACCACTACGACCTCGTGCTCAAGGAGGTCGTCCAGGAGGTCAAAATGGGACGAACGAACGGACCATTCGCACAACCATCACGTTGGCACAACCCCACCACAAGTACCCCGAGTTGAAATTGTTACCTTTGCCACACCCATCACCAGCCATCGCACTTGCATTCAGCATACAACAAGGGCTCAGACGGCAAAGAGAAGATTCGCCGTGGCGAGGATTGGCGCCGCAGTGGACACAACTCCACGCGCATAACGCACGACCAATCATACCACCACACCCCAGATCACTTCGCAGCCTTAGCAATCCACACCCATTAACAAGACCCACAACAGACCATACAGATTTGGGGTCGCGATCATGACAGAGCTTACAGACAGCTACCCTTGGACCAGCCACAACAAGCATATGTGTTGCTGAATACACCAGAAGGCCCCACCTTATGGAGCCACAACGTCCTCCTCTTCGGCTCGTCAGCGAGCGTGTGGGGCTACAAGCGGTTCGGCGATGCAATGGTAGCAGTCTCTCGCATCATCCTCCTCTGCCCCACTATGCACTACGTGGACGACTACGGCAGCACAGAGATCACACCACGCGCCGACTCGGGATTCCAGAATTCCAGGCGTTCGAGGACTTCAACGGCGCCTTGGGATACAACATGAAGACCAGCAAACGACAACCGCCAGCCACATCACACACGATCCAGGGAGTGATCATCAGCACAGAACCACAACACATCACATTAACACCGTGCCCACAACGCGCACAGCAGATGTGCGAAGACTTCTGCGAAGAGATCCAACTATGCCTCAATCGTGACCAACTTGACCCAGACAAGGCCCGCCGTATGGCTGGCAAGTGCAACTTCCTGACCGGCCGCTTATTCGGCAAAGTCGGACGAGCACCCCTCAGGGCCATCTACGCCAGTGCACACAGCAACATCTCCCAACTGGGTAAACCAACCAGATCAGCGCTACACGCACTACTAAACATCACCCACCATTGCAAACCCACGCGACTACCTCTGCAGATCAAGCACAGACAATTTGCCATCATCTACACCGACACATACCACTTGGCAGGCGACACCAAACTTCGACCCAGCGACGACATCCCAGAAGGCTGGAGACCCCACAGACTACACCATGATAGAGAACGGATGGGGAGCTGTCATGTTCCCGCCAGGAGAAACGACACGTGCTTGGGACTTTCAAGGGAGATTGCCGCAACAAATTCTCCGACAGTTCAGCTCCAACACCGCCTTCATCTACCTGTTGGAAGCCTGGGTCGCCATCATCGCACCACTGATCTGCGAACCCCTCCTGGGCCAGTTCTACATTCAGTGCTGCGACAACGAGGCCGCTCGTCACGGCCTCATAAAAGGTGTAGGGAAACATCAACCCTTGAATTGCCTGATTAGTGCACATTGGACCTGGCACAATCGCAGGGGCATTGCACATCGAATCGAGCGGGTACCGACGAAGGCAAACCTTATGGACCCCATAAGTAGATTTGAGCCCCTTCCACCAGGACTGTTATGGTCCTATATACCATTGCCTCAAGAGGCCATCACACAACGGTGCCTCAAAGTTATTGGTGACATCCAGGTTGCTTCATCCTTGGGCTTCGAAAACATACCAGGCATGGATAGAGTCCATTAGAATCTTGCCCGACAGTTTTAACTGGTGTCCTAGACTGCGACGGCAAATCGTACACCAGCGACGGGAATGGACAACTTCATGTCTGTCTCCGTGATACGAGACGTATTACGAGACATCATGGACACCAAATTGCACCTTGGTGCAACAAACATGTCGACAGGGGAATACAGCCACTGAAGTTGACATGGTTGGAAAAAGCGCTCTGCCCTGTCTGACCTGCATCCTGTAATAAGTACGGGTTTGTTATTGCTAGTCTGTGCGTCTCAGAATTGTCGTGCATTACGCGTGCGTCAGAAATGACAATTCTTATAGCACCAAGCTGATAACCACAAATGCATGCGGATCTCATGTTGTTGTGCTCCCGTTGCCATTTTGGTTACAGCTGGTGCACTTGTATCGGAACATCGGTTCCTTTCTCACCCACCCCCCTCACCCTTGTATAGGTTTCTGTGGATAAGTTTTGTAGATATGTAAATTTGTCCTCCATGTCTCACATTCCCCGAATGTACAATTTCATGTCCGTCTCCGTGATACGAGACGTATTAAGAGACATCATGGACACCAGATTGCACCTTGGTGCAACAAACATGTCGACAGGGGAATACAGCCACTGAAGTTGGCATGGTTGGAAAAAGTGCGCTGCCCTGTTTGACCTGCATCCTGTAATAAGTACGGGTTTGTTATTACTAGTTTGTGCGTCTCAGACTTGTCATTACTTATATACTTGGATCCCTAGGGTTCAGGCAAGCTTCCAAAGCCTAGGCAGCATCGTGGTGGACTGCAATGTGCAGGCAGAGTCAAGTTAAAAATCTTGGGCCCAAAGGGTTCGTATTATTTCTCTCATTATTTCCACGAATACTATTGTCATTATTATTACTGTTTCTACGATTCTTGTATTCGTATTATTACTATTGCTATTATTCTTACTCTTATTATTACTACTGCTATTGCTATCATTATAACCAATACCCTCACGGTTATTCTTGTGGTGCAGGATTTGGATTTCTTTGATCCTGGCGGCCTCCATCCTGGTTGCAAGGTCATGCTAAGGCCTGGTTTGAAGGCCAGGCTCAAAAATCAAAAGCAGCCTTTTAGGGTTTAGGGTTTAGGGTTTGTGTTTCAGGGTTTAGGGTATAGTAGGGTATAAGTAAGGTATAGGGTTCAGGGGTTTGGGTTTAGGGTTCAGGGTTAAAGGTATAGAGTTTAGGGTATAAGGGCTTTGGAAAAGTCCCCCTTAAGTAAGACAGAATATGTGGTGCATGGGAAATTCTATTTTGATTTTGGGGAAGTCCATATTCCATCTACTTAACGGGGACGAAAGTTCAGTTGCTTCGCTGGAGGCTCCTGCCTATGGCTGGGGCGGCGTCAAACACGGCACGATCGGCTTCTTCCTGAAGACGGACGGAATCCGACATGAGCTGCGGTCTTCTGCGATTCTCCGGGGATCCATGTCTATAAATGATAGCTACATGGGACCCTAAAGTCTATAAAAATTACCCACATTGGGTTATCTGGATGGATCCCTAGCAATTGGGTTTAGGGTTTACGGAGCGGTCTCTGCGCAGGAAGGGCCCAACGTGATAGTGAAGTGGCCCACGCACGAGATGTGGAAGGTGGGTTGCAGAGCCCACAGGCGAAGCCACGAGCCTTGCGCTTCCTGAGGGCAAGCAAGGGGAAGTTGTCAGAGCCGATGCACCGTCCGGACAGCAACGGCCTCCCCTGGCATCTCAGATTGCAGTTTGACTTACTGGTTCTTCGTAGGGAATATGGACTATTATATATAGGGATCATAGAGGGATGATATTCCCTTATTTGCAAGAGCCAATACGTTGAGTTCAATGAGCAGCTTCCAGTACCAAATTCAAATTCGTGGGCAAGGGAGTTGCAGTGGCAATGAAAAAACAAACAGCCGAGGTCCTTGACCTACATGTACGTGCCGCCTGGACCTTGGGGCCGTTGGAGCTGTGCGAAACTATGCTGAGCAGCTTAGCAAGGCCTACAGAGTTCGTGGAGGCATCCTGGCCGACAAGATTGGCTACGGGAAGACGGTGCGGACTCTGGAACTTAGAGATGCTAGGGATCCAATACCAAAAAATGGAAAAGAAAATGGAAAATTAAAAGGAGGAGTGGGTTATAATATAGGGCTCCAGGTATACGAATTGGGCCCTAAAGTCTGTAAATATTACCTACATCAGACTATTTGGATCCCTAGGTAGACTTACTCTGCTCGTTTGGTAGCCTTGTCGCAGATCTGAGGCCACCACCATTGCGTTGATAGACCGCCAGCCGGCGAAGCCTACTCCCCCTATCCCTGAGGCGCCTAAAGTCAAAAGCAGAATAGCATTAATAGCAGAAATCGTATAGTAGTACTACGAATCAGAGTAATATTAAGAAGCAATATGAAAATTAGAACAATTTTGTTAATATGACTAGTACAAATGATGAATAGTAGAAAATGAAAGAGAGAACTACGGCAGATTCGACAATTCGGGGCGGCTCAGGTGGACGCGGGTCGTTTCTTGCCTGCGAAGGCTGGCAGAGCACTGCGGAAATTCCTCTGTTTTGCTTCGCACCTGTTGGGGGTTTCCCAAAATTAGGGGTGCTATTTTGGGGGTCCCCAGAACAAGGATTATGGTAAATTGGGGTCTATAGTGGGTTCCCCCTACTTTGGGAAACTACCTGTTCTTGCATGGAGGGCACGCTCATTATCGTGCCATCGAATCTCTTCGAGCAATGGATCAACGAGATCTCCAAGTTCGTTTGGGATGGAAGGCCCTTGAGGCAGGCAGAGACAGCTCTTAATGCAGCTGCCCTAAACCCTTAGGCAGAGACAGGTCTTAATGCAGCTGCCCTAAACCCCTAAACCCTTTAACCCCTAAACCCCAAACCCTAAGGGGTGAATATTTGTCTGCCAGGCAGCAGATGAAGGGCGGCTGGTCTCCGAAAGACTGCCCTCTCAAGATTTTCGCCATGTCCAACGTGAGCCCGCTCGGTAGATGCAAGGCCACATCCTGCAAACTGTGCCACGTTCCGGTTGAGGGTTGAGGGTTTAGGGTTCTCTGCCTGCGAAACCTTGGGGGTCCATGTCTATGAATCATACTAGGGTTTGGGGTTTAGGGTTGAGGGTTCCTTTCAATAATGGAGAATCAAATGGAAAACCAAATAGACAATGAAATGCTAACTGGTGTTATATGGGAGTAACATTGTAAAGCGAAGCCTATAAATCATACCGACATTGGGCTATGAAGTCTGTAAATATTACCTACATTGGGCTATTTGCATCCCTATAGACCCCTAGTTTCCATTTCATTTTCCATTTGCTTCTAGGGAAGTGCATTGGATTATTTGGATCCCTAAACCCTATAAGCCCTGAACCTATAAGCCCTAAATAGTAGTTTCCATTTTCTTTTCCATTATCCCTATATAACCCCTATAGTACCCTTTTTTAATAATACCATTCCCTACATTGGGTTATCTGGATCCCAAGGGAAAAACCCACCAGGCTGGGGACATCTCCACCGCCGATGTGGTGATTTGCTCCTACCGCCTGCTCTATTCCCAGATCTACCTCAAGCGTCGAGAGGAGTGGGGTCACAAGTCGGCTTCTAGGGAGCCCAAAGGCCACTTCAAGGCTATTCGTGCGCATAATGAGTTATCCTACGTATCTGGCGGCATAATCTCCAGGAAGGTAATGATAGTTCTAGTGGTAATGAGTTCTAACCTCATTAGGGGTGCTTGTAGCCCTTATGCAAGCTTGGTCTCAGGAGCTATGCAGCGGCACGTCCTTGTGGAACCTGCCGAACCAAATCCGCACGTTCCTGGCAGGCGTGTTTGAAACCTGCGCCCCGAAACGCTGGTTGAAGCCCCAAGCCTGCCCTAGAGATCTCAAATAGCCTCATGTAGGTAGTTTTACAGACTTTAGGGCCCGGCGTTGGTATTATGTGTATACTTGGATCCCTCAATAACCCCCTATTGAACCCTAACGCCTTAAACTAGGGCTGCCCCCTTGAGGCCAGCACGGCCTGCGAAGTGGGCGGAAGGGTGCCGAAGTGGCACAAAAGTGGCAGGACCTGGAGTTCTGGCCTTAGGGTTTAGGGATTACCGATTATGGTTTAGGGACGATAGATAGAGCCACCCAACCACTGGCCATGACCTCTGTATACCATGAAACCATAAGTCCCAAGGTATAAGTTAAGGTACTCAGGGTCATGCAGGATTGCTGGTATTCACCAAGCTTTCAGAAGCCTCTCCTTTGAGGTTCCCTGTTCTAGAGATGTTCTACTGGAAGCGGATCGTCTTCGACGAGGCCGGGAATGGAAAGAGCGCTGTTGATAACGTTGCATACAATGACATTTGCAGTTCCACGAGCTAGAGAGCTTCGAGAGCGCGCAGCAGAGCCTCGTCAGCAAAGCCTCTTCAGCTTCTGTTTGACCCCTCTCAAGCTCAAGGAACAGCCTGCAGTTCCTCCGGTCGCACTTCCGCTGGGGACTCACAGGCACACCTCCCGTGGAGAACAACGCAGGCTGCTGGGCCGGAAGCGAACAGCTCTCTGTGTCAGCAAACGATACGTTAAGAGAGGTGCCATTTTCATGTCCTCGCTCTTTCGCGTGGACTTACCAGGCTACCTGCAGGCCCCCAGCTTCAAGGGGCTACAGGTGCCGTTTGGCCGTAGCCTGTCTTGAGCGAGGCAAGCCCTGAAGTGGATCTGGAGCCATGGGAGGCCCAAAAGCTTTGAGAACAAAAATTGCTTAAGCTGTTGAAGTTGAATGCAAAGCCAGTCTGACAAGCTGCTCACAGAGACCGCTGCCCGCTTTCTGGATGACTTCGTTCGGCAGCACCTCGACTGCAGAATGACCTTTTTTCCTTGAAGCAACGCCGAAGCTGAGCTTGGTATGCACTGAGCAGGAACACGGCAGAGCTGCCGCACATACGCCTCGAGGATAGCCGTCTCTTCTTTCAGAGTGGGGGCCACCCAAAGAACAGAGTGCCAGGAGCATGTGGTCATCGTCCAGCACACGGCTGCGGAGAGGGCGCTGTACCTGGGACAGGCACATGAAGCACCAGACTTTCAAAGCATGCGCCTGGCCCTTGGATGGAGCCTTCAGTTCTTGGCACTGGAAGCCTTGGGCCATGAGGTGCTGCTGCCTTCCAGTCCCAGGCCATCCTACATGCCATGTATGCCATGTGAGCAGTGAAGACTGAGGGTCCCATTCTGGGGTCCCAATATGAAGCGTTACAGCATATCAGGGTCTATCTTGGAGCCCGGAGTCCTCATAGTCTCACTGGTGCTTAAGGGAGAGTGGGGGAGCTAATCCCCATGTACGCCATTCTAATGATACTCCCACTCCCCCTCAAGCACGAGTAAGAAGTATCCTGCCTTCTGAGGAAACGGTGAACGCCTTGGAGCGGCTCCTGAAGCTTTGCTCCCACTTCCAGGTGGGCGGAGACCACGTGGCCAGCCAGGGGCTCAAAGACGAGAACGGAGCTATCAGATGCTTAACAAGAGGAAGGGGGGGCTAGGGACCCTAGGGATACGCAGGAATTTTTAAGGGGATTATGGGGGCTTCTTATGAGGGCTTATTCCCCCCTATAAAACCGTATATTGTCCTAATACAATCCTTACTCTATCTATATATATATATACATATATGGTAGTTTCCCCAAAATACGGGAACCCCAAAATGGTACCCCTAATTTTGGGAAACACCCATACACACACACACATATATATATATATTTATTTATTTATATTTATGTATATTTATTTAGCATTTATTCATATTTATATTTGACACAAACTGAAGAGTTTCTGTGGCTAATCAGCGAGGCGCTGACCAGGAGTGCGAGCGCATCTACGACCAGAAGGAGCGACGCCTGGTGCGGGCCAGGACCTACATGCAACTGAGGGTAGATGTGAGAGTTTATACGGCTTAGGGATTAGGATTTTGGGGATTAGGGTTCAGGGATGGGGGTTTAGGGATTCGTGTTAAGGGATTCGGGTTTAGGGATTATAAAGGGGAGTATTGTAGGGCATATGAAGAGGGATGTTGGGAGTTTAGACTACAGCTCAAATTGAGTGTGGGACCGGACCCTGATTTTGGAAATAGGTGACTGAGTTCAAAACTGGGAGGAACCAGCTGCGACGCTGTTGCCGAGTTCTTGCTTTGCTCCAGTCACGGGGCTGCACATGTTTTAGGATTTTGGGCACCTGGTAAGTATACTATACGAAGAACCGTTTATAGCCCCTATTGATTATGCGCTGTACACAAACCTAGTTCTCCGACTTGTTATGCACCTATTTACGGCGTAGGCTTTCAGGTGCTGCATTGGGACGCTTCTCGGAAGCCCTAATATAGGCAGGTTTCGAAGGTTCCCCTCTTCTACCCCACAAACTGATAGAGTTCTAATGTGACCTGCAACGGATTGAATTCATCCATTAATCTTTGGCATAAGGGCAAAGTATCGGAATAATCGAGTAATGGCTTCACCGGTGGTCTGCCGGAGTATTGCTTCATCCATCAATACAGGCCAAATATATGATTAATCCCATTCATTCATGGCATTGGGACATAAAGTTGTGGATCGCTGCGTTAATCTCCTCCAATCCACCATTAAACCTCGCCTTTTTTCTGAGGCAGCTGCTCCCGAAGACCCACAAGTCCACAGCATGGCAGACGCTGGAGAAAGCCAAGGTGGGGATGCCATGGTTTGCTCCTAGCACAAAAGCACACAAACAGGCCCTTAGGGCCTTACAAGGCATTAGGGGGGCACTCCTGGTGATTCCGGCAAGGGCTGCCTGAGTTTTGACTATTGCACATTGATGAAGTAGGAAGTACGAAGATGGAGAAATGATGGATGCTGAGCAGTGGACAGCAGCGGAGGAGCTCCTGCTTGGCGAGAGTGGCGCAGCCGAGCCACTCTGCCAGGCACGGAACTCGGAAGTCTATCATCCAGAGCAGTCTGAAGTGGAGCAAAACCATTTTTAGAGTAGGCAAAGCGCGTTTTGTTCTTAAGCCCTTGGCATGTGGAGTGACTTTCTCAGGAGCTTGACCGAGAGCTTTCGGTTGGGAGCTGATTGCTTCGTTGGTTCGGTTTCTTTGCTCTCATTTTCCCTCAACGTTGCCAAGGCTGCTCGCAGCGAGGACCGCGAAACCGTGCTCCACACCCTCGATGGCCACAAACCCCGGAGCGAGGACCGGAACGTGCAACGCATCCTTGGTATGAAGTTCGTAGGGTACGAAGGCTGTCTACACACATATATATATATATGACATATAGAGTACCATGCTACATAAATACATACATACATATGTATATGAACAGGCCTGTACAGAAATCCAGGAGTTGCTGCAGTTCCTGGGACCGGAAGGGCCCAAACGAGGCCAGACATCTTGAAGCTCCTCCTGGCATCTACTTGAGCACTTTGCTTTCATATAATAACAACAACAACAACAACAACAACAACAACAGCGACAGCAAGAACAGCAACAGCAACAACAACAACAACAAGAATGTAAACAATGTCTACTAATAATATATAGTAACGGCAGTCATAGTAGTAATAGTAATAACCATATGTCTTAACATAATCAAATGTCATGACTTCATATGTGCCATTCTCTAAACTGCTAGTGACCCCCTTAATAAGCCCTATAGTAGTTCCCTATACAACTCCTTTTCAGGAGTTTAGACTATAGCTCATATCAGATGTTGAGGCAGCTTGGAGGAGTGGAGCGCCTTCCTCCATGGCCCTCCACTCGAGGCTGATAGGGTTTAGGGCAGTGATGATAGAAATAATCATCATAGAAACTCTAGTAGTAATAATAATAGTAGTAATTGTAGTAAAAAAAAAAATATGGGTTAATCATCATAGTAATTCTAGTAGCAATAGCAAAAATAACAATATACACACATATATATATATATGGTACCCCCCCCCCCCCAAAGATCCACCGTTTTTAGTGTATTTCAAGAATATTGAAGTCCCTTGCTTGAGGATGCCTCCTTTTCCCTAGGAAAGCTTTAAGGTCAGCTTT